GGGCAAAATAGGTTTAGTGCCACCGCAGTCAGAATTACGTCCAGGAGCAAATAGATAAAAAAACAAACAAACAGGACATGAGAACTTCAGTGACGTGGCGTCCTTGTTCCAAACAACACAGAACTGGAACCAAGCCTGCTTCCTGCATAGGGTTTTAGATGCATCTTTTTTGATCCCAGTTTTTGTGCTTGTTTATATCTTTAAAGAGTCGCTGACTATCACAACAACTGAGCTCGCTGGTATGTCTCTTGTAAACACGTCTTGTAACAGACTGCACCTTTCTAGCAGCTGTGATCCCTCTTGTGCTGTGACTATAAGGCCTTCAGACATCTTGAACTGTTATGCAAACAGAAACAGGAATAACTTTGCCAAATTGTTTAGATGTTGGTGCATATTTGCTAACAGTTGTAAATTGTAGCAGTTTGTACTTTTTTTAGCTTTAGATTATTTATATTTTATTTGAGGTATAAACAGAAAGAAACAAGTAATTTTGAAGAGGAAGGAAAGTTATATGATTTGTTTTAAATTGTTTTTTATTAAATCACATCCTGAAAAAAAAAATAAAATAAAAACATTATTCTGAAAATCCATGTGCAAAAAGTTACCTTCAGAAGTCAGGCAGTCTTAGTCATGTGGTCTACAGCAGTATATTCTGAGGGGAAGCTTTTCATTAAGAGGCAAAAGCAGCAGGCCACAAAAAATAAGTTGTAGTTCAGTCCTAAAGGCGAGTATGAGACTTGAGATATGAACTAAGGCTGACCTTACTTAAAAACAAACCCAAATATAGAGCCAGAGCTACAATGAAATGGTTTAGATCAAAGCACGTTAATTTTTTAAATATGGAAAAGGTTAATGGTCTATGAATACTTTTGTAGCAGGATTAAAAGATAAAAGCTGGACTATTTCAAACATGAAATCATTATGATTAATGCATTAACTAAGGGTTACTTGAGTTGATGATCACTCTGTTTATTGCTCCCATTTTTAACCCTTTATGGGGCAGTCAGTGAAATACTTTAAAAATAATAATTTCAAGCTAATAGTGTTATTGGAATCCAGGAAAAGACCTTTGTAACATAAAAAAAAAATATGGATATTTTGATGGCAAAAATGTATGTCAAGAATTGCCAACTTGCACGAATATATTAAGAAAAATAACAAAAATAGGTGCTTTTAAATGAAATTCACAAAAAACACTCTGCGAGTAAAAGAAACAAATTTTTTGGTACAACATAACCTTAGAGGCATTATTGCTGATACTGGTACTTACATTTTGTAGTTTTTAGAACCCAAATATAATTGTTAAATAGGGTTATTAACCTTTTAACTTTTCAATTCGCTTTTTACCCTTTTTTTCTTGACTTACCTTTTCTTCAACTTCATTTACAGTAGGTAATATATCATTCAAGGGCTCATCTAATTGGTCACATGCCAAAATAAAATGTACAGCAATGTAGCATTATCTTTGCTGAATGGCTGGATATAGATCTGCTGCTTCTAGATCTCACTGAGGGACAGAGGGGACTCCATTTCCAGAGGCATAGGCAGAAAAGTTTTATAAGGGTGGCCAGGCAATAACCAATGTACACTAAGGGGTGGCCGAAAGTAGATAGGAACCAGAACCTCACGGTCAATCTACACTGAAAATTAATGAGCAAAACATCCATATTTTCTAAATAAAGACAAACTATACTTTCCCACAGCCTTAGCTAACAAATAGATGAATATATTCAAACATCCGTGCTTTCTAAATAAAAGGTATAGTGGATGAAATTCTTTCAGGTTTGGGTTTTGGGGCAAACATCTTTTCCATTGTCATTACTTACCTACTTTTATCAATAATCATTACACATATTTATGAGTACTAATATCAGCATAAATTGATTATTTAATAAGTTTTTATTTAAATAGTTATTTATCTATGATTTCACAGAAGACTCCTAGATGACTTGCAGAGACGCATCATTTTCTCATTACCCCATAAAACACAAAATCTATTTCTGCTCGAATTCCGAACTCATTATAATGTTAGAATATTGGGGTGCATAATAACCAAAGTGTTTTTCCTTGTAAATGTTAATATAAGAAAATTTAAAATGTTTTGAATATTCCAATTGAGATTATTACTGTTGCCACATCTGAATCAGAAGAAAATAAACGGTAGGGGTGGCCAATGATTGGCTAAGGGTGGCCATGGCCACCCCTAGCCCCCATCTAGCTCCGCCCCTGCCCATTTCTGAGGAATATGTAATTGATCAAAAACGTTCACTTGCCCAATAAAGGGTTAAAGCTACCTATAAGGTAAAATATCTACAGTGAGAGCAATGTTAAACGAAGCTGAAAAGAAAGAAGTTTACATTCTCTGTAATATGCGTTATTTTTTGGTATTTTTCTTCATACACAAGATGGGTTCTTTTATGTTACAGCACTTAAGACCTCGCTCCCACGCCTTTCTTTTTTAGTGCAATGGTGGAACACTTGGTTGGGGGAAAAGAAAAGGAGTAGTGGGTTACAGTCCTGGAATGTGGAGGCGCTCCCGATCCCTGCGTTCCCGACTCTGTGGCGCGCGGGTCTCGGGCGCGCGCGCAGCTCACACACACACGTTTCTGTGGAAGTGCAGAGAGGAGGCAGGGAAGCGTCGCTGGAGCGGGGAATGATGGCGGAGAGCGAGAAGGAACAAGTTTGATACCGGAGCCAAGCTGGAATCTCGGGCGAGCTTTTCGGCGTCTCACTCGGTAAAGCAACTAGGTGAGTTTCAGAAAAACTACTTATTTACGTTTTATTTCCACAGCAGACTGAGTTTGACCGCTGCGAACTACTTAATCGAAGCGCTCTTGAAACGCAACAATGAATCGTTGGAGGCTGAAGTACTAACATTGGGGCTCTATTGAAGTGTCGACAGACTGAGGTGAACTTTGTGTCGCTCTTTATCTGACGGTGGAGTTGCCAGCGGTACCAACACAGGTTCATCTATAAATTTAAGGCCCACAGGCGGTTCTTTTTTTTAGTTAGCCTCGACCATAAGTAGTTGAGGTGAAGTTTAGCTTAAGCTAGGAGTTAACTATTCAAATGAACTCAACGGCTGTGCTGTTGAGCTAACCTTCAAATCAGTGTTACGTTGCACCTGAACTGCTTCTATTTTTATACTAAACGTAGTTTTATTAAATCAATGTTTGGGTTCCAGTTTCAGAGGATTGCAGTAAGGTACCAAATTCAACCTCTTTTAAAGCTTGTGGGGGGTTAATTAAAGAAAAATACGATATAAAGTACAACTACTTTACGCAACTTTAACACAAAAACGGGTAAAATTGCTTTGAAAAATAATTTACAGCCTTAAAAATTAGGAATTTGGTTTTAGCATTTTGAAAGTCTAGATAAGTATGGGGAAACTGAATATAGATTGAACGTACCTGACGTCCCTCCCTCTTTGCAGAGGACAAGTTTAACACTTTATCTGCTGGCAGTTGGATATATTTAGTTTAATTTGTGCCAAGATGAAACCAATTAATTAATCAGCCAAGCACGTCGGTTTTCTTCTCTTAAATGACTATTGTGAAGTACCCGGATGAGATATTTTATTTATGGCAAAAGTTGATTAAGCATTAATGGTATTACAAAAAAAGGAAATGTTTCTCTTTTTAGGCTTTTTAACTGGGTTTGGTATAGATTTTAAACAAATTATCAGAAAATATAATTTTGTGAGGTGATCTTAAGTATCTCTCTCTCTCTATATATATATATATATGTTACCTGGAATAATTCAGACTAGATTTTTTGATATGTTAGAGATCTGAATTAATTCAATTTTGTCAAGTCTTTAGCCAAATAGATGTACAATGGAGTGACATTTGTTCACCACACATCCAAACTATAAGGCCGATTAAGATTTGTTCAATATCATTTTTACAAAGAAACTGGAAGTTGACTGAGTTTTTATCTTTAAATACTTTTAAATTGAAAGTGAAAGAATTTGAAGCGGCCTCAATGATCTGTAATTGTTTTACTTGATATGTTTTTTTATGTACCTGTCATTTGATTTAATGCATCTCTGTTTCTTATGTAACTTTGCTGCTTCTTGGCCAGGACTGCCTTGAAAAAGAGGTTTTTAATCTCAATGTGATTTTTTCCCCCTGGTTAAAAAAAAAAAAAAAATGAATTGTCGGAAAAAAAAAAAAAACTCTTTTCATAACAATTTGGAAATAAAATATGGCACTTAAAATCTGAAAATGTCTGATTTTGTAGTACTCATAATGCATATATGAAAATCAAAAATTAAAAGCATACAAAAACATTCTCAGTTAAAAGCCAATCTAAAGTCATATATTTTTTTTTAGATATTTTTGTTTTACATATATCTACAAAAGAGGACATTTATAAGTGTTATTATTGGAACACTGATCACAACATTTGAAAACAAGTTATCCTTTTTGCTTTTCCTTTAATTTCTTGCCTCTGTCCAAAAAAGAAAATTATATAGTGAAAAGATGCTAACAACTTTAAGTTGGATTTTTTTTACCTTTTTTTTATTGATGGTAAATTCAGTTGTATAAACAATCCCGCCCCCTTTTATAATCGACCAATCACATTCACTTTATTCACTCGTGTAAAGTCGGGCACTACTCGGGAGAATTCGGAACTGCAGCCGTTGGAACAGCCACTTCCATATGACTTTAATAGCCACAGCAAATGACATTATTTGATTTTTTTTTTATGTTGTCATGTAGATGTGTCGGTAGTATTGCATCCTTAAACCAACACTAAATAGCTTTCCAACCTTCAGATTATTTTCATAACTTTTGTGATTATATGTTGACTTAAAACTAGTTGAATGACACCTATGTCATGGCCTGAGGGGGTCTGTATCTGTTTTCTCCATTCCTTATAAAGACAGAAGTTGATGATACTAAATTTCCCTAAGGGACTATATATTTGTGCAAGTCTGTAGGTTTGATATTCAGGGAATGCAGTGGTTAGTGGAGTAAGTAGGTACAAAGCCAAACCAAAGTTTATTTTCAACATCGCCATATGATATTATATATTATGATATATGATATTGTTTCACCACAGTTGGATTCATTACCTCATCGGTGTTCATATTTTACACAGCCACTGGACACAGAAATGTAGTTCAGTCCAACTGCAGGTGACCAGCAGGATTTTACCACAAAATGAGTGTTTTTTGTCGTCAAGGGGGAGCCAAAATCAGTGAATGTTCCCTTATGATGTTCTCTGACGTTAAATTGAAGAAGTTCTGTTCTGGATCCATTTGATGCTAAAAGACTTTTCTTGTTTTCAGTGTAATATTTCCAAATTTCACATGAGAGTTTTAGACCCTTAAGGGAAATAATTTTTGTTAATAATGAGGTTGTACTTTAAATGCATTTGTATAAAGGTACTTTTTGTTGTTTTTCAGATGACTTCACTTGAGTCGAGAAAACAGTGCTCCAGAAAATCTCTGCTGGACCCATGGCAATGGTTGCCTGAACTTGTACTGTAGTTCTCCATAAAAACATTTGCAAGAGGTCATTTGTTTTAAAACCAAGCTGCAGGAATAAACAACCAAAATGATCAAAACGGAAAGCAAAGGAGGGGAGAGGAGCCTAAGAAGTGCGTCACCTCATAGAAACGCATACAAGTCTGACTTCCATGCCATTAAATGCACCTTCGATGGGACAAAGCCTGAGGATACATCCAGATCGTTTGCAAATGGATCCAATGAAACCAAGGAAGAGTCGCGGGGCAGGCCTTTTGGAACCAGAGTGAATAAGATCAAGAACATATTCCTACAAATGGATGGACAGCAACAGGAGTCTCAAGAAGGGAAACCAGCTTTAAAGTCTGAAGTTCCACATAGTTCACCAACAAAGCTGCAGTTCCCAGTCAACACTCACAGAGTTCATTTGAACAGCTCTTCAAACCCTGAATTCCAAAATTTAGATAAAACACCCAAAGGGGAAGATGTTGAGATTGACAAAGTGGCTTTGGCCGAGAAGTTTTCTGTGACCAGAAAACTCTTTGAAAGAGGGATCAAAGAGCAGCCGATAGCAGAAAAACAGTCCACAACGAGAGTGGTTCATCGGTTCTCCCTTGGAAGTACCTCAGATGAAGACAAAAGCACAAGGAGACTGTCAGAAAGCAAAGAGAGTGCTGCCAAACTGCAGCAAACTCATACATCTCCTGCTAAAACTTGCTCTGATGAGTTAGCTGATGGCGAAAGAAGGCATGTGTCTAGAGTGTCACTCAATGCAGGGCCTTTGTCAAAGAGGTTAGAAAATTATATAGTAGAGAATGACTCAGATGACAACAACACATTGGTGGGGAAAGGAGGCGTGGCATCGGCTAAACAACACACTACCGCTCAACACACGCAGCCTACATTTGTGTCCACAGCTGGTTTACACAAACCTACTTCTCCTGTTAAGGAAGCTACTGACTCTTCTTCAGTCAATATACTCATCAAAAATAAAGACAACAAATCTGGATCATGGGGATCAAATTTAGGTAATAAATCAACAATGCCAGCTATTGTTACTGGTTCCTCAATGGCAAATACAACTCCAAAACTTTGCTCATCAGAGCAACCGACCTTAGTTACCCATGACAACAAGTTCCCCTCCTTGTCTGTTGATAAATTTAATAGGACATCTGTTGGTGATAGAGGTAAACCGTCTAGTTCCCCCCCAAGGGATGAGGAACAGCCTTTGCTGTCAGCTGGTGGATTGCTAAATAAACAGGCAGAAAAACCCAAGAGTAATGATGGCCCAGCTCTTGGCCAAACAGGGCCTGACTCCAGAGGGGGGAGCACAGTCCGAGCCGAACTGGTGGTGGTACAGAACGAATCCTCTGACAGCGAAGAGGACGATATCGCTGAAGATAATGTAATTGAGAAAAAGGAATGCGTCAAAGACCTACAGAGAGGCTTTCAAACAGGACAAAGCCTCAACCCTGCTCATCAGAACCTTTCACAAGAGGATACAGATGATGAAAGGGAGGGAGATGCCTTAGATGGTGGTTTAGAGAAGGAGCATGAGGGCTTAGTTGTGAGTCAGGATTGTAACAATACCTACGAAGATGATGAAGAAGCAGCGGAGGCGGATGATACACCAGAGAAGCAAGTGGAGGAGAACAGTCTTGATAGAGTCTCTCCTGTGGTGTATGGTATAGAGAATGCAGCATTTGTGGATGACAGAGATGTAGACCAGGTCATCAGGGAAGAGGAGGAGGAGGAGGAGGAAGATGAGGAGGAGGAGCAAACCGATGGGGATTATGACGACATTTATGAAGTCCCTGGTCTATCAGAGGAGGATGAAGCTCCTCCAAAAAGGAAAATCAAGTTCTCCACTGATCCCATTTTGGTAAGTGTTACAACTAACACACTGTTTTGTTTTGTTTTTTGGCTTAAATACCAAAATATGTTGTACAGTGCTTTCAACATAGACCACAGTCTCACTGACTCAGCGATGGTGTCTGACCTGGGAGTTTGCTGTAGGCTGAGAACAACTTAGCAGAGGCTGAGAATGAATGCTTTTGTCTGCTATGCTGACGTCACAGCTGCACAACTATGTCATCAGATAAAATCTGCCACTCTACAGAGAGAAAAAAATGTATGCTTTATAAAATCTTTAACAGGAAGACGGGCGGTTTGACAGCTTAGTTTCTTAATCTCATGAGAGTTGAGAAAGAAGTTTGGAGACTAGGCTTATGTATTACTAACAGTATTTTTGGAAAATGGTGTTGATTTTGCAAAGTTTCTCTGAATCCAGGGCTACAGATTAGAAAAGTTGCAGTCAGGTGTTTGGGTGAAAAGTTGCACCTTATAGTAAATAATTTCAACCCGTCTTGAGTGGATGTTTTAGTGAGTTAAGCTGTTTCCAAGCATGCAAGATTGTCTTAAAGTCTAAAAGCAAACATTTGCTGGACTGAATGCTTTAGTGGACTGATTGCATTATTTGATTTGAAAAATCTGTAACATATTATTAAACCATGTAGTTGTTTCTTTTTTGTGTTTTTGGTTTATTTTGGCGGGGATGTAGTGAATCAACCTGCATGTTTTTTATATATTTTTCCTTCCCGAATTTAGGTTGCTTTCTTTTGTATTTGGCAGTTCTGTAGGTTTGCATTGATTTAGTATGGAGGACAGAAAAAAAGTGTTTTGAATGAGCTATGCGTCTTTTTAGTATGCTTCAAAAATTATGCTATCTTTTGTACACCTTACCGTTACTTCATATTTCCCAGCATTACATTTAGTTTTGCTAATTTCTCCCACTGTCCCAAAGAATGTAGCTGGTTTTACTTTGAGTCTGGCATGCCAGTCTTGATTTGCTAGTTGCATGAACTTTCCCTACCTTTGATTCCCAAACCTGATTTACTGACAGGTAGTAGAATGATCTAATAAAAAGTAAAAAAAATAAAGCAGGTGTGGCTGAATTGCACCAATATGTAGAAATAATGGCAAGTTTTTCCTATATTTTGTACAGTTACGCTGCTGGATATACTGCCAAAACAATTTTTAGTCATTTGGAAAGGAATAACCTCCCTTTGCCTTTTTTGTTTGTGCGATGTGTGCAGCTTTCATTGCCATTTTTGAACAGTAGTGATGGCAGTGTTGGTCTGTATTTTAAGACTGGTTGTAGAAGAGTCTCTAGTGGAAGAGCGTTCCTCATAAAACTGTTACCCAAAGTTTATGTATTTATTTTTAAACTGTCATGCAAGTCTGGCCTCGTAAGCAGTGCTTTTCAGTCTACTAGTCTCAATTCGATTTAAAAATACTTTATTGATTCCCAAAAGAAATTTAAATGTTATTGTATCATGTAGCAACCTTCACTTTTTTTCCTAAAAGTTGCTGTAGGTGTTGATAACTTAGGAAGGAGGGATCTTTTTTATTGGTTTGTCTTGAAATGGGTCTGAAGAATTCTTTGAGTGAAGGCACTTGGTTGGTGTTTTTCAGTCTTTTGAAGAGGATGCATTGCTCACTGTGGTCTATCGTTTTCTTTTATGAAGAATTCTTCTTTTGAAAATCGCCTCAGAGATTTTAGAGGAGTTCAAAGAACCAAGAACATTTTTCTTTCAGCCTACTGAAAAGTTTTTTAAAATAATTTGCTCGGAAGAAATCACACTCCCCACAACAGCATTATAGAAGATGTGTAGCATTTTGCTGCAAACACTGAAGGATCTGAGCTTCCTTAGGAAGTGCAGTCTGCTCCTTCCCTTCTGGTTGATGACTTTACAGTTGTGTCTCTAGCTAAGTCTGTTCTCCAGGTGAACATCGAAGTATGTGTTCTTCTCAATCACCTCCACTTCTTTTCCTATGGTGTCAATAGGATTTAACTTGTTCCTGTTTTTCATCTGCGATCTAAAATCATCTCCCTTGTTTTGTTTATATTCATGATCATATGATTGTTTTCACACCATTTCACAAAACTGTTCACCAGCTCCCTGTACTCAGCTTCTTGTCCATCTCTGATTAACCCAATAACTGCAGAGTCATCAGAGTATTTCTGCCAATTGGAAGTCAGAAGGGTACAGAGTAAAAAAAAATGGTGAGAGTAGTGTTCTCTGTGGTGTTCCTATGTTGCTGATTGCTTGATACTTGGCCCTTAAGTCTCACAAACTGGTCTGCTTGTGAGGTGATCTTTGATTCTGGTGATTATTGCTGCCTCTAGCTGAGTCTTCTGGAGTTTCAGACAGAGTATATCCGAATTAATCATTTAAAAAGCTTTCAAACGCAAGCAAGTACATCTTACATTGTATATGTTATGTTTACAGTAAACAGTATTTATACCTCCTCTGTTTATATTCAACCATTCATTTTATTGTGAAAAAACAAAAGCGCCTGCTATTCTTCTTCTTGTTTGGGAAAACCACTGCTGGTGAGGTTTAGATCAAACAAACTTTTGCAGTTTGGTGACGAGCTGCTCTGTATAAATTGGAGGTTATTGAGCCATATGATAAGTGCTTTTATACATGTGACAATATTGCATGTATGTCTTCAAATGTATCCACTCAGGGAGCTGGTTTCTATAGAGGACCTAGAGAATAACTGAAAACGAATTGTAAATTGTATTGTTTAATGCGTTATTAAATATTTAAATTTGCAAATGCTTTTTTCTTTTAAACTTTCTTTATGAAGATTTAAAAACCCAATTCCTAAATCTGATAGTAATACCTTTCCTAATTACACATTTAAAAAGACAATTCCAGTTCTCTCATTGGTTAGACCGCCACACTTCACAAAATAACCAAAAAAAAAAAAGAGCTGGTTATATCTAAGGAGCAAAGTGTTAGACTTCACTAGTTTTCAGTGGGTTCAGAGACTACTGAAAACCACAGGAAAGATAAATGGAGAGGGGAAAGTAAAAAAGTTAATGGGGGAAAAAAGGATTTTAAAATACAAGGTGGGAAAAAGGAATTACCTTGTTAAATATGTGATTAGGAAAGGTATTTATAATCAGATTTAGGAATTTTTGTTTTTAAATAGTAAGGATAGTATTTGAAAATAAATTTGTAAATTCCAGTATTTAATGACGGATTACTAAATAGAAAATTACAATTCCTCTTTAGAATTCAATTTAAAATGTGCAATTAGAAAATGCTTTTCACTCTGGATTTCAAGTTGCATAACTTGAATGTTACATTTGAAATGGCTGCTTATCATTTTCAATGACTCTCTAGAATCCTCATAGGATATCAGAAGTAGATGGTTTTGCAGCCGCTTCATCGTAATGGGACCCTTAACCCCCAAAAAAGCTTGTCATATGCACTCAAACCCAGCTTTGTCTGGATGAGGCTCATTTCATTTCACCTGCCTACTTTCCCCAGAGTGCTGTGCTAGATCTGAGTTTGTTGAAATCATAGCTCATTCTGTCAGATGTATTTCTACTTATACTGATCAAATATCTATTGCGATATCCATTATGGTTTTATGGACCAGCCCTAACCACAACTGATATTCTTTCACTGCTTTCCATCTAACAAAAATTTAGTTAAAACAAAAAATTGAAACAAAAAAAAACTGCCTTGTATTCCAAAACATTTTTCAACATGTTTATTCAGCCCCTCAAATCATGTTATGTCAGGGTGTGGACCCTCATCCCTTCTAATTTCCATCCCAACCATCAGGGGGTCCTGAGAGAGGGGACCAGAAGCTGACCCAGAGTGGTAACCCAAACAACAGACCGCTTTATTTGGCTGGGACATTTAAGAAAAAAAATAGTATCCCTACGATCTCCTATCAGATTTACAAGCTAAACAGCTTAACATGCATCACGTTTGTGGTTTGGCTGTTAGGTCAAGGCCTCATTGGTGGGGAACCTATTTTTCATGCTTGCATTGCTACCTAAAGCCTGGCTAGCTAAACTCACTTTACTTACACTCTACTTGACTGTTTGGCACTAGAAATGGATCCACTTGAGCTTTAGCTGACAATGAGAAAGGAAGTGCTTTGCCTTTGTAGTTCACAGCAAAATTAGATCCCATAGTATCCCAGGTCTTTGTGATAAGATAAGATGTCTGACAAAGGAAATATCATTTTTGAAGGCATGGAATTAAACACTTATAACATGTTACAGTCATATTGGTGTTTAAAAGGAAAACTTTGATGAAGATAACCTTCATCGGTGGAGCCAAATACAGAATTACTGCTGCGTAATGTGGTGAATATCCATTATTCCATATCTGCAGCAGATTGCTGAAAAGCAGAACATAACAATGTAGCATTCGTGTTTCAATCACTAACCCAGCAGGTCATTGAAGAACTCAGAACATCATATAAAGCACTGCAGCCCTCATGTGCCTCAGTTAAGGCTGATGTTCATGGACACTAATAATGAACAAGGCAAGACTTGCATCTGAGTTTCCAGTAGGAAACCACAGCTGAACTAAAAACACAAGGAAGATATTTTGGTCCTCCCGATGCATCTTCAAGATTTTTTACTCTAACCATTAAGATGTAGACCATCAAGTCCACCTGGGAAAAGTGGCTTCACCGCAAAACCTGGACTGAGAGGCTCTGTGACAGTGACTCAGATAAACCCCTTTGTAGGTGAATCCAAAAAAAACCCAGAGATGATTCCAAATTCCTTCACACTGATGTAACAGGCTGATTGTTTTTAAAATTTCATGATGGCCGTGGTTGATGCAGGGAGTGGTTCAAGTAGTTATTTGCTTTGGTATAATTTTTACATAGAACCAAACTGGTTTGGAAGCCGTTTTTGCCTTTAAAACATTATTTGAGAAATGCATGTTATTAGGATTTGTTTAAGTTGAGACAGAAATGCAGAGGAAATCTGTAACAAATGCTACAGATTTTAAACTCCAGGCATTTCAATAGATATTTATGTTCCAATAACATTTCATT